ACTTACCTCGGTGAAGTTCATAAAACAACATACGAAAGCAATAACATTATCATCATCATGAAATCATATGAACTGTATAACATAATACTTATCACGCCTTTTGCATTTCAATCGTTACACAACATATTTTTTTTCATTTACCAGCCTACTAGTATCCATGAGGATCCATAGGGGTCCCGCTACCCGTGAAGCCTTAACACTTGTAATCAGATTCCGTCCGGTATGGGCGCCAACACTATAAACCTCAATACCCCGTCCGATATTAGGGTGAAACGAGTCGTCCCCATACCCCGTCCGGTATGGGTGCTAAAACACATAAGGTCTCCATACCCCGTCCGGTATGAGAGACCACAATCCCGGTAGGGTTCCCTACGGACCCAGTCCGTCCACCATCTCCCAGGATATCTAGTCAGACTGACCACATTATACAATTATCAATTTACATAACCTTTCATTCCCCTTTTTCCTCAGTCAGCATCATCAAATCACACACAAACAAGCAAACCAATAATTTATACCAAACAAGACAACATGCAACATCGGGTTCTCAGTCATTCAACTTATAATCAATAAAACAGTGATATATGCACACGAAACTATGAAATGAAAACATCAGACCTCATACTGTATTTAAAAACTGTAAAATAGGCCAAACAACAGCTGACCGACAAACACACCAGACTCGGGCTCCATTAGCAATCTTAAACAATTTCACACATCTATTGATTCATGAAATACCGTTTTATCATTTATTGAACTTTAATACCGTGATAGGAAATAGGGTGAGGGGTCCTTACTTGTTTTCGGGGTCTGATTACGGTTCTACAGTGCGCCTACAGGCTGTCCCTAATTTTTTCTGAATTTTTTCCGGGGAACTGAAACGCACTACTGGTACCTCCACGTGTCCCAAAAAATCTCAAATTAGACCCGGGGCCCCTTTCAGCCAATATCGCAATTCCGGCACGGCGGCGCCGCAAGCGGCGGTGATTCGCCTTGGGTTGGTCATGTAACAGCCCCGGAAAATATTAAAAAGAAACGAGTATTTAAATATATCGAATGCGGAAGCGAGATCAAAATTTCAGTTAACATCCCTTACACGAAAAACCAAAAACGTACTTAAAATATAAAAGATTAAACTAACTAAGAAATAAACTCGAAAATAAACTATGCGTATGACTACAGAGTCTCTAGGCATCCCCTTCGTCGTCCTCCTGCGGAACGGGCTCGGGAACCATGTCTTCCTGATCTGAAATGGTTAATTAAGGAGTGAGCTACACTAACCCAGTAAGAACATCACGATATCTCACCGTCACGGAGATAAAGGTGGGTAGAAAAACACAAAAAGACCAATGGAGCATAATTTACACAAACTCGTTTATTAACATGAAAACATTTACCCTCCACTTACCTCGGTGGAATTTATGAAAACAATATAAGAAAAACAATAACATTATCATAATCATTGAATAATATAAGCTGTAAAACATAACACTTATCACGCCCCTTGAAATTTCAATCATTGTACAACATATCTTTTTCTCATTTACCAGCCTACTAGTATCCGTGGGGGTCCATAGGGGTTCCGCTACCCGTTAACCTTTAACATTCATAATCAGTTTTCAGGACCGTCCCCATACCCCGTCCGGTATGGGCGCCAAAACCATGAACCTCAATACCCCGTCCGGTATGAGGGTGAAACAGGCCGTCCCCATACCCCGTCCGGTATGGGCGCCAAAACCATAAACCTCAATACCCCGTCCGGTATGAGGGTGAAACGGGCCGTCCCCATACCCCGTCCGGTATGGGCGCCAAAACCATAAGATCTCCATACCCCGTCCGGCATGTGAGACCACAATCCCGGTAGGGTTCCCTACGGACCCGGTCCGTCCACCATCTCCCAGGAT